ACTTCTGAACAACTTTACTGAAAGCTTCAAATATGGAGTGATCATATATACTAGTTAGGTAAAAACTGCAAAAGAAATAGGAATAAATAAGAAATATTAATACATAGCATGCGTAACAGCATGCCGTAATTTTGCAGTATTGCACTGGGTATTTTCATTCTTAAGAAATGTGAATTCCAAAAATGGAACGACTACACACGTAAAGGTTTCTCTAATAATTAAAAACATGGTACCGTAAAAACCCTCAAATAAGAGCCATGTAACACTTTCATTTCTGGGTGGTGCTTATTTGAGGTAACATTTTGACAACTTTGTAGCCAGTGGCTCTTAAACCAGGGTCATCAAACTTTTTCATTGTGAAATAGGGAAGGGGATAGGCAAACACACACACAACCAAAACAGACAAGTAATTATTAATGATGTATCATTGCAATTAATTTATTCTGTAAAAATACTGTTATGGGAATAACAAATGTCAAATAAATAAGAACGGCTGCTCGCTGACCGTGCTGCTTAGCGTACATGACGATTCGACGTTTCACCGACAATGTGTAGCGATGCCTGAAGTCATGTTTCACTGACAATGCGTAGCAATGCCTGAAGTCGGATTTGGTAGCACTCTCAGATTTTTACAACTTGGGTACTTGGGCATTGTTTTAATTGCGCTAGACGTCTGAAAGTACAGCTTTGGTTTATATATTTCCTGTTTCATAATCAAGCCAGCTTATAATGATATGTTAATGATATTCACGTACTTCACTGTCCAGGCAAACGGGGTCAAACTATAGCCCCACCCCTATATAACCAAATACGAAACGATACCGAGAAAGTAATAATTACATGTAATAAAAATAATTTCCTGTGACCAATCGGAGAGACTAAATCATTTACGAAAGCTCAGGCCTGTTACAAGGCATTTTCTAATTGGTACAAGTCCAGATTATTTTCAATTCTCACAAATAGCTAATTTAAATATTTGGGTCAGGCGGGTCACGTCGACTTCGCTTTGCTG